TAGCATTTAATAGTGTTTTTACTTATTTTAGCATTTAGCTGTGGCTTAGCCAGTGTTAGCTTTTAGCTACGATTTAGTTTATTTAAGCCCTTAGCAATAGTTTTACTTATTTTAGCATTTAGCTGTGGTTTAGCAAGTGTTATTTTAGCTATGATTTAGCTTATTTTTGCCATTAGTAATGGTTTTGCTTATTTTAGCATTTAGCTGTTGTTTAGCTAGTGTTAGCTTTTAGCTATGATTTAGTTTATTTAAGCCCTTAGCAATAGTTTTACTTATTTTAGCATTTAGCTGTGGTTTAGCAAGTGTTATTTTAGCTATGATTTAGCTTATTTTTGCCATTAGTAATGGTTTTGCTTATTTTAGCATTTAGCTGTTGTTTAGCTAGTTTTTAGCTGTCAGTTTTTGGTTGTTGGTTTTCATGACGTAATTTTAGCTTGTGGCTACAGTTTCGCAGAATTTAGTTTTTTCTACAGTTTTGCAATATTTATGTTTTAGTAATTGTTGTGCTCAATTATAGCTCTTGGCTGTAGTTTACCCTAATTTAGCTTTAAGCTATAGATTTCCTTTATTTTAGCTGTAAGATAAGCTTTTGCTGATTTTACGTTAGACTGGTTAGCTCATTTTAGCTTTTAGCTTATKTTTTGCTTGTTTTAACTTTAACAACTCAAGTTCCTCTAAAGTCAAAAACACTTATTTCTGGAGATAATCAGTAAAAACATTCAATTTAAATCTAACCTTTGATGTTTTTTACCCTCAGTTATTTTCTAATCTGTTGATAAATGACGTGTCRTTAAATGGATCTTTAAGTCGTTCTGTTTCAAACATGAGCACTAAATGAAAACGCAGACCCTCTTAGCTGYATAAATCATCCGTAATTTGCAACAATGAGCCCAAAACTCAAACGCTGGTGCGTTAGTCTCCCTCGGCGTCGCCGGCTCTCGGCTGGATGTGATCAGACCGGAGGCTCTGTCGGGTTAGCTTATTGCTCTCGTTCTGTCTTAATTATGGTCGTAGGAACGGCCGCCGTTTGCCGCCGAGACATCCAAGACAAACTCTTAAAATCATGGCTTCTGTTAGAAAAATATCCCATGAACCACCATCAAACAACATTCCCAATATTTGACAAAAACTGCTTCAACTTTGTCATTTCTCAACATAAGKTGGTTTATGAAGTCCGAACTGTGGCAGTGGGAGATAAGCCTGTCATCACAGACCTTTAYTTTCCTTCATGCATCTGTTTGTGCTCATCAGCAGGTTTTTAAGTACCTCAGCCTCGACGTTTCACCCGCACGCCTGCGTGCGTGTTTGGAAATGTCTAAATGTGGGACTTAAATAAAAACAGGAACAAAAAGCTGCTCCCAGGAAGTTTAAAGTTTAGTCAAACTCTGACACATCGGTAAACAACACCGACAAAGTTTAGCAACAGAGAAAGAAGAGAGAGAGAGAGAGAGACGAGGGAGGAAAGGGTTGAGTCCGAGGAAAGGAAGTAAGGAGGTCACTGAGGGATGGAAGGAGGGGACAGAAGCAGGCATTAGTTTTCTCAGCTGAGAACGCTACGAGAAGTTTTCCCTCTGCTCAGACAGGAAGCTGGCGTGGTGTGACGGAGCGTAGCTGGACTTTAACTCGAGGTATGACAGCTCTTTTTTAAATCCACTTAAAGAATCTCATCGTCTGGAACAAACGTTTCTCACTCGTGTTGTTGAGTGAACTCAGAGCTGACGTTTGTGTGCAGTACATGTTGGTGGTGTGTTTTTTTTTTTTTTTTGTAGATGTATGATAGGAGGCTCAGCGGCTCCTGGGTGGTCTCGGGCCTCTCAGCCACTCGTACACCCCGGTGGAGGATTTTTCTGTTAGACTTGCTCCTAAATAATGGCGTTAACATTGTTTTCATCCTGCCTCTCATTTCTGTGTTTCCAGATAAATTTGCTGGGTTTGCTAATAACGGTGGTTTTTATAAACTTATGACCACATAAACATAACTTGGGTTTAAAGTCGTGCTTGTTTGGTTCTGTTTTATTCAGACATGTTGCTGTAAAACCATCAGGCTGAAGGAATTTTAAATATGAAGGCAAACACTGTATTTTTAAAGTGTATCTTACCCCCCTGTGAAAAGAAAACTC